CAGAAGCTATCGGCTCCATCTTGAGTCCCTTCTATGATGGTCGAATGTAAGCTTGAAAGAATTAGCTACTTTACCGGCCTTGTAAGCTTATTTCCGTGCTTGTATGAGAACAGTTCTCGTGTATAATCGCAGTTCCCGTCGCTGTATCGGCTGTTTTCCGGTTATATGTGCAGATCCAAAGTGCATCTAGGAAATGTTGCATGTCTGTAAACAGAGCTGTGCTGTGGGACTGATAGCTGAGTTTTTTCTTGATTCGACTAATACTGTACACCAATTCTAGACCATGTTCTGTGAATTGTGTGACTATACTTACACTGTACTACATTGGGGTATTCTTTCTTGATACTGTCTATAGAATGAAAAAAAAACCGATTTGCCAAATGACAATCATGTCGGAGACATGAGTTGGACCTATTTTAGCAGTCTAGATTTGATATGGTGTGTTGCCTGTGTAAAAGTGATGCCAGGTCACGTCAGCGCTGTCAAAATAGCTCACAGCTGCGTGTGAAAGGGGGAGGCAACGCACGCGCTGGACAATTGAGCGGAGTTAGTGTACAGAATATGTGCAAACGTGATGAACTTTCGTATGGGTGTTTGCTCTGACGAGTAGGTGAACGGAAGACATATTGTTGAGATATGAAAATGACGGCTCGCACGATCGATATACACCCGCAAACAATCATGCATTATCACACGAAAAGCTGGCCTGGCACGCTTTGTGTAAAGAGATGAGCAAAGAACAGGCTTCTATGCTCAATGTCATCTTTACTTCACTTTTTTTCGACACAATTATTCGTCTTCATTTTATAGCTTTTGTATGACTTTAAGTTTATGAAAAGTTCAGGAATCTTGTGGACTCACGGGCAGCATTTGATGCCTTAGTAGCGTGGGCCTATGTGTATCCTGCCCGGACAAATTATTTATATTTTTACAGTTCCCTTTATGATGAATTTCATGAGACTTCTCGTCGTGTTATGCGGCGAAAAAAAATGAAAGACGATTTCTTTCCGCTGAACAGGGAATTTTTTATATAAGTACATTTTTGGTAATCATCTGTCAAAACTCAAGTTCTTTTGGCTTGCGTGTTGCCTACGTGCTCCTTTTTTGGTATGTCCGCTTTTGGCAAAGCTGTAGCATTCAAAATGAAAAATTTTTTTGTATCGGCCGTAACCTTTAACTATCACCTCGCTGGAAGCGCGACAAAGATATGAACGTGTGGGGAGATCTTGTAGTATCAAAGTCCATACGTTTTATCTGCTGTTTATTTCGAAGCGCAAGAAAAGTTTCCAATTAAACAACAACAATCGCGCTTTCATCTGTGACCCATCTAGGCGCCATCAATAGATCGCAGTTTTGAAATCGGGGGGCAGCCTCCCTACCCTCCTCAGCCCGTGGAATGGCCAAAACTACTACTGGAGAGTACTGAGTATTTGCATGAACTTCAGTAGAAAGAGCACCTAGTTGTCCGGAAAATTTCTGCTTTTTATTAAGATTTTTTCGAACTGCAGTTATTCTATGGAATGTGCTTGTGGCTTCCCTGCCTTTGCTGTTCAGAAGAGTATTTTCACCTGACTATTTATAATCAATCAATAGCTTGAGAAATGTAGATTTCTGCACTAAGCTTGATTCATGAAAAACTTCTTCTTCTTGAGCTGTAATAATTGAGAAGAGGACAGAGCATTGTTTTTGACTACACAATCCCAATGTCTAAACTTTTACGGCGTTTTTGGTACTTACCACAATCGATCCTTGATTTCATTGCAAATTTATTGTTATGAGAGAAAAGATCATTTATTGGAGAAACATATTTCCTATGCATGGATAATGCCCATGGTTTTAATAATGCTCACCTTTTAAATTTCGAATGACATATACTTCGGAAACCGTACTTTCAATTCTCATTATGCAATTCGATATAAACTATTATTAACTAGCAAACACATTTTCCACAAATGGACAAGTAGTAAATGGAACACACATGGGGGCAGTTTTGTGTGCAGCCACATTAGGCCTCGACCGAATTCCCATTGATCAAATTTAGGTTTCTCCTCCACAGAGAAGTACAACTACACTGTACCACCTGTTTTTTTTTTTCAGTAGACTATTAGTAGTCATTCAATAGCAAACAAAATAAATGTTTTCGGCACTAGGCTTTGCTAAATAAAAAGGCCTTTGAAGAAGTAATTTTTAACGCTGAAAATCCACCTCTTCCAGGGAATATTCAATTATGGTTTGAACTTAGCCAGGGGTTATGTTTGCCAGTTACATAGCGAAATTTGGATGATCTGGACACTTCATTGTCACAAGGGAGAAACATAATAACCACGAAATTCTCCGTAGGCATTTTCAGTCGGAAGTAACGACGCCAAAAAGTTCCTAAGAATCCGCGCTTCGGTAGAAAGAAGTATAAAAATGAATTTCCTTACAACTCTTACTCTCCAATGCTGTCGCATACCTTGTAGGAGTAAGACCGTCTTTCCTCATTCATCATCCCTCCAATTGCCACAGACATCTGTCCTTTTGTTCATTTAAACACATTCGCTTCAAGCTCGAGAATTGTTCCGTGACGAAAAAGCACCAATTCTTTGCATCAGTGATTTGCATAGAAGTAATTCGTACAAATCAACAAGGCCTGTGAGTGAATCATTCTACTAAAATCTAAGGAAGGAGAAAGGGGTTAAAGATTTTGTTTGAACGTATAGGCAGAAGGACCGAAACAAATCGTACGCTCGAGCGAATACTCCCATTTGTGGGAACGATAACTATCGGAAGCAGTTGTGCAACATAGAGGTTTCTGCTTTACTGTTGGACGCCCAACCACCTGAATGTGGTCAAATGGTAGTTAATAGGAGATATGGGACTTTGATTGGACGCAGAAAGTCTTCTTGAGGGTATTCAGCTAAAACGAAAGTACATGGAGGGTGTAAACGCTGTGAATGTCCAGTATCAAAATCACCACGATGAAATGTGCTCGCAATACAGAGTAAACGCGTAAAATGGAAAGCTAGTATCCACAAAACGATATAACGAAGTTTTTCTGTATTTCAAATAGGTTTTTTCTTTGGGATTTTACTGATAAGAGAGAATTTACTAGAGGAGTTTCTGATGAAATGGCATCGCATGTAGCGTGCAGCGTCATTTTTGACAAACAATTGATCGATTTCTGATTTTTAATAGCCATCATGACTTAAAGATATTTCATTCCACGAAGTAATCTCAAAACTGGATGCTTTTTTAGAATTTCTTATTTTCAATCGTTATCATGACTTGGGATATTCTAATCCACGAAATAATTTCAAAACTGAAAGATTTTTGTCATAATTTCTGGCTTCAGAAGGACCATCTGATAAAATGGTTGATTTTTTGATTTATATATACCTAAGAGTATTGAATGTTGAGCAAAAACACGACTTCAGACGTGAGTCGAACCCGCGTTTTATCCACCCCGGGGATGCGTGTTACCACTACAACACCGAGACACATTCGCACCACCACTCATTCTTCAATATCTCTATGATAGCTGTTAGCCACCATCTATAACAGGTTTGGTTCGGTATGCAATTTTGCTCTATAAACCCATTTGAGCTAGCAGGCATTGTGATAGGTAATACTCAAAATTTTTTTGTGTTTTTACCGCATTCATCCCAGTGTTATGATGTCTCATATATACCTTAGAGAACTGAGTGGCGAGCAGAAATACGACCTCAGGTGGGAGTCAGATCCGCGTTTCATCCATACCGAATACGCCTTCTACCACTACATCACCAGAGTACCCGAAACCCCACTTTCTGTAAGTATCTAGATTTTCCCTTGAAACGCGAGGTTCTAGGGAGGAGGAATCCTGATTTGAATAACTTTTATAACTTCTCTTCTAGCACCTCCTATAATATGCTGGCGATCAAAATTTTTTTAGTGAAGATAAAAGTAGAAATTTCATGAGAAGACTGCTGCACCGTGAATGCAGCTCTCCGCGCTCCTCGCGCGACCACGGCATGTGCCGCTCCCAGATTTCAACTTGGTCGTCAAGGAGCATTTCCCAGAGTGTGTCATAAAATACCCGTGATTTCTCCCATATAAGTGTTGAAAGGTGGGGTTTTCGTATAATAACCTGACTGTTGAATTGCTTGTATTACACATTCTTAGTGTATACGAATAGTAAGCGTATAATCACACTTGATATGATACAGTACGTCTGGGTCGCCGAAGTTCAGCCTTCAATTTTGAAAAGGAACTACCAACCTCAGGCAAGTTATATCAAAGAAAAAGACAGTTATTAAGAAATTTTGCTTTTCATTACTCATGCCGGATCTAAAGAGAGTGGGACTTTCGAAGTATCAGAAAATATAAAAAGCCATTGCAGCAGTAATAAAATTGCAAATAAGATGTTAGCTGAAGGAGACATGCAGTGTTTAAATAAATCGTGCATTTTGATGACGCTAATTTTTTGTTCGATAAATTACAGAAAATTCGCAGATAAAAAAGACAGAATAAACTTTTGATTTTTACTAAATCGATAGATTAATATTTTGTTGCTCCACTAGTGAACATAAGGAAGCTGCCTGAAAATTGATCGCAATCAGAGCCAATAGAAGACTTGTTTCAATATCCGAAGCTTCAATACCATGTAGTCATCACGAAAGAGTGCACTGCTACGAAAATTGTTCCCCATATCCTCTAAAAGAATCACTGAGTAAAAATAAGGATGGAATCTGCCCAAATCTTGTAAATTGGCGTATTTTTGTAGACTGCGGCATTTCTCATAAAAGATTTTCAGAATGAGGAAAGAAGAATTGGGAGAAAAGACTGGAGAAATTGTGGAATGTGGCTGAGAAAGTGAGGATGCTGACATGAGTCTTTAATCACTCGCTGTTATTCAATCAATGAACTTCTTTACTTTCGACTGTTTATATAGATCTCGCTAGAAAACAATAATAATCTGATAATTTGATAACATGTCTTGAGCATTTTATTAGGTTCGGTATGGCACTTATACAGTAATAGACAGCTATTTCGTCCATCCAAGCTCATCAGTAGTACAGAGCTATTTAGTTCGGCCACTCTTCGCAGGCGAATATACTGCTACTTATGCCGGAAATCGATGTCGAATTATTGATATCATCGCATGTCGAGTAACATAATCGATTCCCGACATTGCAGTGATCACGGTCGGGCGCTTTTGTCTAGTGGCATGGATCTTTCCTTTACTCTCCCCTATTTATATAGACCTCGCTGAAAAACAATAATAATCCGATGATCTAATAATGTGGTAACATGTCTTGAGTTTATAGGAGGTATGTTATATCTCCCTACAAAGGATCGGTTAAACCGAAAGGCCCTGTGCTGCAACTGCCGAAAGGCAAAGAACCACGTCACATGGTTTTAATAAAGAGGATTGTAATGTGAAAGCTCTCTGTTCGTTCTTCTTGATGGATTCTCTGCTTTATAGATTGATGTTTCATTCATTTATTCGCACTGTGCGTTCCATAGCCAATGAGCGCAGTCATTTTACTCAATCGCTCCACGGGAGTCGCTAGCTCCTTCGTGCCTCATAATTTCGAAAATTCGAGTATATGCTGACAGCGTAGTTCAAGAAGAAGCAAAAATGAAGAATATTTTACTAACTACCTAGAGAACGCTCTCTTTTTTAGGTTTAACATTTCTCGTTTCTATTTTTCAAAACCAATTTTGCAGACCATCGGCTGAACCTGCATAGAAGATCGTGGAAACTTGATATGTAGCCGGCCTGAGGAGAAAAACTCTTTCTTGATTCCATCAGAATCTCCGTTGTAGAGAATGAACACATAATAGGAGCACTAAATAAATGCTTTGAAGAACCCTCTACAAATGCCACATGCTACAAAAAGCTCGTATACATATGCAAAAGGATACAATTCTGGCATTGATCGATACCTGAGCAACGCACCCTATCATATTATTAAGCATCGTTAGACGTAAGTGAATGCACATTTGGCCTATACAGTGATTCGTGGTGGCTTAACGATGTATTTGAGCTTGAGAGGATAAATAGCTTGGTAAACCTTTAGCGGTAGTTTTGATCTATCTAGCACGCTTACGTTACACGGCACCGTCAACCACTGCACCATACTCGCCCTCGCTATTTGTTAACAGAACTAAGGTCAATGATCAAGGATGAAGAACTGTACTACTCCCCACTGTAACTGATAGCATTGACCGACGAGAAGCTAGGAATAGGCTGACGACTATGTCAAATGGAAGTCAATTTCTCTAGTATTTCCGTTCTTTATTTAGCTCCCTCTAAGCCCGATACAAGATGGGAAATGATCAAATAATAAGCCGTACAATCGATAACAATTCTCAAGGCTCCTTTACAGATGTTACATGTTAAACAAGGACTTGGCGTTGATTAACACCTAAGGGATGCGTTATGCATTCGATTTCACCAAGCATCATTTGAAATGATTGGATAAAAATTCAGCCTTTACAATGACTCGCGGTGATCTACCGATGTAACATGTCAACGCCGCTATCCTCCAGACAGATCTAATACTGTCACCCAAGGAGTGATGAAAGGCCTTGTGAGAATTGGGCGTGGGATCGAACTATCATACAAGCTTGTGTCGCACGGCACCTCTAACCACTTCCGCACGCTCTTTACTAAGTGCCAGCTTACTTGGAAACGTGGGTGGAGCGTTTTCACTGGTGGTACGAGCCCCAGCATAGCCTCCTTTCGTTTCTCTCTCACGCAAATGATGTCATTGGTAGACGGTGTGTTGCGAGCATGGTGATGAACGCAGGACCTGTTCGGTGATTCTAAACTCGCTGCAAGTTGCGGATGCAGATGCTTTGATGTTTGCCACAAACGTGTTCGCCTATCGTCTAAGTGCCCTTCCAAGATGGCACATGCATTCTATTGGAATCTACTCCACAGTTCTTTTCGTACATCTGTCATCACATCGTGTTTGTGACTAGCCCATGAGCGTTCACGGTCATTGGTCTTCCTGCAATAT